TTGTCACAATATTTCTCAGATGAAGGAAACAATACTGGCTAACCTTTGAAAGATTCAAAATTCAGGCGGTAATCAAAAGCGATAAAAAGCAGATGATTTGATGTTATTGGCGAGGGGCCAATGTACTGATAAACGTCCTTAGAGAAACTGTCTGGGCCGAGCACTAGAACCTCGGTTTTACCAGAGTTGAGATGGAGGAAGTCAGACTACATGCAACTAATAATGGCAGAGAAACATTGAAGCAAGAGAGGCTGTTGACATATTACAGTGTGTCATCTGCATAGCAGTGGTAGGAGACTCCATTAAAACCACTGATTAGTTGACCCAGAGGTAACATAGACAAAGACAACAGAACTGGTCCAAGGACCGAGCCCTGGGAGACTCCACTGGTGCAGATGAGGACACTGGTTAATATGAATTCTGAGGAATCTGAAAAGTATAAAGAAACCCATTTGAGACCAGTACCAGCGATGCCGACCCAACAATCTCAACGAGCTGACAAGAAACAAGAAGTTTGGAAATTGGCCCAAAATTGTTTAAAAGAGTGGAGGAGGTTTTTTTTAGTACAGGAAAGACACCGGCTGTTTTAAAGTAATCTGGGACACAGCCAGATGTAAGGGACTGACAAGAGAGAGAGGCCAGGGGGAGGAGCACATGTGTGAGGCTATATCCAAAAGATCTGTTGGAGAAGTGCTTTGACCTCGGACAACAGAACTGGGTAAAAGCCTTCGGGTGGTTGAAGAGGCACGGACTGGGTGTGACCTGATATTTTGATCTTGCAGGTGAAGAAACATTTTCCCAGTTATTAGCAGACACTGGAGTAACAGCAGACTGAAGAGGGTTAGGATGTTTGCTGATGGTGTCAAATAACAACATCGGATTAATCTTTGTTATCGTTACTCACACTAGTAAAATAAGATGTTGGATGAGTCTGACTAATAACTCCTTCATATGGAGATAGGAAGTCTTGTTCCATCTACCTCCAGGTTTTCTGCACCCTCATCTTTGGTGGTGGATATGATCACTAATCCAGGGGAAGAACTGGTAACTGGGACTAATCTGACTTTAAATCTGCAACACGATCCAGAATTCATCAGCATGTATTATTTAACCAGTAAACTGAGTAAATGGTAAATGGCCTGTATTTGTACAGTGCTTTACTAGTCCCTAAGGACACATCCAGCCATCCACCCATTCACACACACATGCACACACTGGTGATGGCAGCTACATTGTAGCCACAGCCACCCTGGGGCGCACTGACAGAGTCACTGATATCTGAAAAATTAGTTGTTGATGTACTACGGTGAGAATCAGCATCAAGTTCCCAAATACAGAGTGTTGAGGAACTACAGAAGAACCAAATGTTCTGGTTCTGGACTCACATCTTGAGGGTCCCGGACGTCATGAGCTCCGTCACCAGGATGGTGCATTTGTGTCCC